AATAGCCAGTAAACAATACTTCCTCGGCTTAGTGGCAACAAAAAAAACACAACCAAACACAGCACAGAGGCCTAGATTTTTTCACTTAAAACATCATGATACGAGAAGGTGTAAATAAATATAAAACAACTCCACACCATACTTGCATGTTGAGGATGAAACTAAATCGTCTTTTTAAAGATTTCCTTTAATACTTTACAAATACATAGGGTTATTATCATATAATAACAGTGTTAAGCTTAGAATTATGCTTGTTTCATGTATGTTATGCCTGCATAGGCTTCCCTTGTCAAATTGACATAAAACATGTTTTTCGCCTTCCCCACATTTTCTTTATTACTAAGTTGAGACGCATGTTTATTATAATAAAATTATCAGTATTGAGATATTTGTTAGTCATTCAATTAATCAAATTAACTGAAAACAAAAAATACAAATGTGTTCATACATGGCAGGCGAACTAGTTCTACTACATAAGGAATGATAAATCTCAGCACTTTGAAGACTAAGTACTGTTTTACAACATTTACCAGTATTTATTTATTTAATAAATGTTATATTTAAGTATTTAAAATGCTGAGATTTGTCATTTCTTATACTGTTCTAAACAACATAAGAAAGTATAGTACATACTCTCCTAAGTATTGAAATCTACATGCCATCATGTTGGGATTTAGTATTCCGACATTAATTATGTCATTATCAGGAATGATTCCTGATGACATAATTAACATCAAAATATTGAATCCCAAAATGATGGCATGTATTTCTTGGAGTATGTATTATACTTTCTTATCTGAGATTAATCAGTGGACCACTTGGTTTCTAAACAATGTGGGTGCTGAACAATGTAGGCAGTGAGGCATATCGATCTAAAAAATAGATAATTTTTCAGTTACCAGCAGTGATCCTAATGTATATGCTTTCATAAGTCAGTGGTTAGAGCAGGGAGTTGTTATTTAGAAGGAGTCACAACACATTTATCTACTTATCTACAGCCAATGAGCGAAGCGCGGTGTACTGAATCTTCAAAGAGAACCGTGACTAACTGCCTGTCTTTTGTCAATAGGGTACTTTTCCGACGATCTTGCGCCCTCAGTTGTTAAAATTTTGTCTTTGTAGAGAAAATAATTTCGTGACAAATGACCAGTAGAGCATGCGCAGAGTTTTTTTAATTCAATTTTCGCTGTTCAATAAATTTGCATCTCAAGAGAGTTTTACAAAGAATAATTTACAAAAAACCGCATAAAAATTCGCCTTTTCGTTAAAAAGTTACGAATATTTGAAGTGGAGCTATATGTGTTTGTTCGTACACCGTCATTTGTAATTTTCATGGGTTTTTGATAAGTTTTAAAACTTATATTTTATATTTTCCGCACGTATCTCCATTTTATAACTAGGACAAATAGTTTATGCAACTTGTTAACTATCATTTTCTTTATGTCTCATTTTCTTACAGTTTCGTACAGAAACGTAATTAGAGTTCAAACTGAACATGTTTTCGTAGCAGGGAAATGATATAGGGGCATATTTGTTGTATCGGTTTGACGCTAGCGTGTAGTTGATGACTGACACTCTCTCTAGTTGCCATGCTTTTTCGTCACGCACAAGCATAAGAAGCTTTACTGCGCATGCTCATATTCGGTAATTGAACCTTGTCGTTATCTACCTCTCTGCTTTCTTAACTTGTCGGAAAAGTAGACTGATCAAAAGAGAGGATTTTGTTGTGACTCCTTCTAATAACAACTCCCTGGTTAGAGGACTGGTCTTGTAAACCAGTGGTCGTGAGTTCAAATCTCACTGGGGATTTTTTTTTCACTGAATTAGAAAAAGAATTCTATTTGGTAATATACACTAATCAATTGAGAGAGATTTTCCTTGTTACTGTGGCTGTTTTGGAAAAGTAGACAACACCGAGCACACACAATCCATCTTCACTCTGTGTAAGCGCTTAGCGATGCCAAGCTGTTTGTTATCAGTGTCAGTCTGAGTAAAACGATAGAAAACAAACCTCATGTTGCATATCATGGAATCGCAATGCCAAATTCCTTGTGTGTCAAGCTTTAATCAATAAAACATTTTCATTTTCTTGTAGAAAGTATTTTGTATCATTGGGCTCAATGTCTTATACAGTAAATGAATGCCCTTTATCTATGTTTTATTCACAGAACAGCAGAATATACCACAACCTGAAGCTAGTGTTGCAGCACCTGCTGAGGAGGCTGTGAGTATGATTTAAAGGTTAAAACCACCCAGATACAGCTAGCCAATTTAATGTTCTATGCAAAATATGCAGTAGGGGTATTATTTGTGTCTGTTAATTTTGCAAGGAATTATTTCCCCATATTTTTGATAGAAAGTGGTAAAATTTTCCGAGAGACAAGGTAACCTGATGTAAGCCCATTGACATGTATAATGGTACACTAATCTACACATGCTCAGTAGGTCAGCATAATCATAGCCGTTGCATAAAATATCACTGTTTTGCCTTTTATGTAATTATAAGCCAAATTAGTCATTTCTTCGATCCACAGCAAAAATCTCCTACTTAAATTTCAAATACAGCAAAGTTTACAGAAACATTGAATAAACAAATTTCGTGCCATTGAGTAAAAACATACAAAGGTATCCAAGTGCCTCACCCAGCACTTGTGAATATGTTGATAATTGATAGCTCACATTTATAGTATTTGTCACATTGTGTTGCTTGCATTCACAAAATTGGATGTTTACGGAAATACATTAATATTGATGACACAAAAATATTAACATATTCCTTCAACACATCTTATCTCGGCTGGTGTAACTGCTTGCTAGCAGAGGCTCACTAACTTCTGAAATAAAGCGACAGCGACAGAAGTTTTTTCTCAATTAGGCCGACCCACTGGAACACACTTCCATTGGAAATACAAAATTCACCAAACAATAACTGTTGTAAAGACTCGTCTCTTCATATAGTGTAATAATCTTACATATTCATTATCTCTTTCAACAGGCACCTTCAGCGTTTTGAGGCTAATTTTGCATTAGGTGCTTTAAAAAAGTGCTATTACAGTAATTGTAAGTGGCCCATTAATCGAAAATGATATTGGTCAGAACTTAGTTTAAAATTTTCTTTTCATTAATTTATACAGCAGTCAGTAAAGGCAGAGACACCTCATGCTGAACATGGCTTAACAGATAATGTGCAAAAGATAATTGCAAATGAGAAAACAGATGCGGAAAGAACAAACAGATCCAAGGTAGACTTGCAGGCGCTTCCAACCAGGTCCTACTTAGATCAGACAGTGGTGCCAATTCTACTACAGGCAATGTCATCATTAGCTAAAGAACGGTAAACTGCAGTTTGATACATTTCTTGTTTCTTATTATTAAATCACTTTATTCACTTGAAATTCCTAACAATTATTGTATTTTATTTAGTCATTTCTGTGAGCACATTTGATTGACAAAACATTCGAATTCCTTTAATTATTCATTATTTCATTTGTTTACCAGAAAACGATGCAATTTTTAGTTACGTCTGTTCTTTAATGGCACTGTAAATGGGCTTCCAAGATGTGCACATTGTCCATTTTGGTGTGGCGGGAAAGGTTTGGTTTCCCAACCTTGAGGTTAGGGTTTTAATCTCTTGCTGTGTATTTCGCTTGTGTGGTTACTTGGTGGGGTTGCCTGCTCGTGTGGACCCAATGGTCTGGCAAAAAAGGACTATATAAACACACTCAAGTCAAATTTTGAATAATTTTTTAATGCCATTTTGGATTTGACTTGGGCAAGTTCAACCGTATTTGAAGTCACTCAACTTCATACATAATTGTTTTTTAAAAAGATTTCATACATTCTTGTTTGTATTACAGTATGTGAGAAACCGTTTTGCTTATGTGAACAATGTTGTTATATACGGTGTTATTTTTTGTGGAATAAAGATTATATTTAAACATATCACTGCATTTCTGATTCAAACTTGTTTATCTGAATAGATAATGAAATGCATCATTCTTTTTCAAT